GGGAATCGAAGACGGTTGATCGGCGCGTATGGCGCGATCTCATCACGAAGGCAGTTGCTGAAGTGCGGGAGAAGGACCTCATGCATGCAGAGAAGAAGCGGCAGGTTCGGAAGCGTCAAGCACCGATGGATTGTAGTTTATCGACATCGAGTGCATGGTGCTGTAGCACATGCGGTCGCGAGTGCCTTAGTCAGGCAGGCCTACTGAGCCATGAGCGAGGCCACTCGGGACTACTACCGAAGCGACGACGGGTTCTGCAGAGAACGGTGGCAGAACCGGCACAGCGTTTGTAGGTACGCTGCATTCGATTTACTAACCGCGTGCTTGCATGCTAAGTCTCTTTATTTCAGGTGGTGGGTTTTCAATTTTGCCCTAATGCTTTTCTTTCCCATATAAATGCCTAGTTATACTCTCTTCTATGCACTTGCACATGTCGCTTAAGCCACTTGTAGTTATTTCGATAACATTTTCGTGTTTGTAACATTTCCGTAAAATAAACCTCCTGACCTCGTGAACTTACCCCGTATTCTTTTATAATCGTATTCTTTTGTAAACAACTTTTTTCATACCCTCATTAATTTAAGATTTCTTTCACCGTTTGCTTGCGTGCTGCGTTTGTTTATTTCAGGTGGTGGGTTTTCAATTTTGTCCCAATGCTTTGCTTTCTCATATAAATGTCTACCTGTACTTTCTTCTGTAAACTTGCACACGTCACTTAAACCAATTCTTGTCCTTTTCGAAAACATTTTTGTGTTCATGGCATTTCCGTAAAGTATACTTTCTGACCTCGTGAACTTATCTCGCATTCTTCTGTAAAAAATTTTCTTCAGATGCTCATTACTTTAAGATATATGTCACCCTTTCCTTATGCATTACTCGATTTATTTTCTTTGTTATGTTTCACTCAAGTGATTGGCTGTTGCTTGATATCCCCGGTGAGGCTACGCTTGATGTGCATGTTGACAAGGTGTCTACCTGTCTATTACCCACTACCTCCTCCATACTGGCTCCAGGAGACAGTTGGTCGTTGCTGTAGGAGACAGGGTGCACGGTCCTTGTGGCCGTGCAAGGCTCGAAGAGTGGTTCCATGCAGTCAGTGTGGAGCGGACTACGGTACAGCCACCGCCTTGTGTGCGATTGATTCCCAAATACAGCGTGCTTGTGTTCGCCTGTGAAGGAGTGTGGGCCGGCTCCATTGATGAAACGTGGCTCCCATCTACATGTCTCCCGGTTTTATTCCTTCGGGTTTACACTGGATATGGGGTGTGTGGTTGGAGCTGTGGGTGGTGCAGCGCAAGCCACCCATGGTCCCTCTGTAGGCGCAGGCGTCCTGTGTCTGGCCACAGTGACAGGCAAATCCGAAACCGGATGCCGCCAACCATATGTGAGGATGCAGACGTCAGGCTGATTTGGCGTCATTTTCTTTTGGAATAGAGGTTCCGTCTATTTACCTACGGCCTGTTTGACAATGCTTAAACACCGCTGTGGCTCTTGGGGTCTGATCCAAAGTCTGCACAAACGTCTCTAGCTGTACTGAAGGAGGATATCGCATATTTCGGGATGCATTCTGATCTTACAAAGTGCTGCGTGATATTACATGGCTGGCTCTATGCATCTGCGGTTCAATCAATTGCTGAACACCTACCCGATTAGTTTACTTGTTTAGTTTGCGATACCAATTCTGGTAGTAAAATCGTCTGACATATTAATACGCGAATCAGCGGGATCTACGTAGCCTCTTAATGCCGGAATCATCTGACTAGATATGGGGTGATCGGCTTATCGCGTACAATACGGTGGATGTTGCTACGTGGAACAGACACCGCCGCCGCGCTCTGGTCACTAAGTGACCCCCGATACTTGCTTAGCGTTACCCTCGTCGGATAAAGCCACGAATTGAGCAGTGTTGAGTGAGGTCCGTCTGTTAATAACTCTACCCGCTAAATCTGACTGTATTTCCAACCCGAATCGCCTACTTTAGGTTGCCCCAAGTGACCCCGGCGACACAGTCACATCTGTTCGCTTTTTGTTGGGCGTCCTCCGCAGGCTGAATCAGGTACTTATTGTTCATTAGACGGATGGCCTTCATTGGGCCTGTTAAAAATTCTTGTTTCGTCCTGCGTGATTCGTCATTTGGTATGTGTACTGTACTAATACTAATCCTACTATCGCTACTACTACTGCTACTACTACTGCAACTACTACTACTACTACTAATAATAATAATAATAATAACAATAACACTGAGAATAATAATAAAAACAACAATGAGAATAATAATAATAACAATGAGAATAATAATAATACTAATAAATGCTCCTCGAGGTACCGAGACTCGGTGTCCACAAAAGGACGGATCGTATTCACATTTGCAACATGCTCACGCATGCAGGGTTGTCACTGTTCGGGGTTCATACTAGGATGCAAAAGGTGGGTCTTTGTGGAAATCTTCACTTGGGATTTTCACTCTCGTTTCCTACCTGTTCACAGGCCTTCTCACTTGTTTGGTTTCGGTGCAGATCGGGGGTACCACGAAGACGGCAGATTCATGGGATGGGAAGGAACATGAAAAAAGATGAAGCAATCGGAGGCATCAACCAAAATCAAACGTTTAATACACAGTCGTGCATAACAGACTAGAGTAGTTCTGGGCAAGTTACTGGTGGGTAGCAGCAACTCCATATTTGGTGCGATTTTACTCAGATAGAGTAGAAAAGAGAAAGCTAGGATTAATACATCAATGTAGTTCCATACGAATTTTCAAAACTTCAGCTGCGTTGGTCAACACATGTAAGGTAGTATGCATATAGGGGGGATTTAAGATAAGGTGAGGGGCCTAGACGTTCCTGGATCTAGATATCGGATTGACCTGATTACTCAAGATGCTTCGGATTGGTTGAGAGGCTAGGTGGGCTCATCATCATCATTATACACGTTAGCTAGAGATGGGAAGCACCTCAGCTACTGTGCCGCAATACCTAAAAGAAAAAAGAAAAAAATGCAACTGGTGCAAGCCGTCTGGGCTACCGGTAACGGTTGGGCATCGTTCCGATAAGCTACTAGCCGGCTCCTGTGCATCAACAAAATTACTATGCAAAATTATATATGGCTAAATAGTGAGGTCGTGGTTGGAGAGGGAGGCTAAGGGATGGGGTGGGACAAAGAAACTCACAGCAGGAACGCCACTGAGGTCGGCTCCTTGCCATGTCAGCAAGTGTATCCATCCAAACGTGTTCATCGTCTTTCGGACCCCAACCAGGGAGCCGTGACGCTCCAACCGAGGCCATCTCCGAAGTGAGGGCCTTCATTCCTCTCGAACAAGTCATCGCTTGGCCACCCCTCCTCTTATTCCATCCACATGCCCGGCGCTCAAACAGCGCACGTCGCGGGAGTCGGTGGGCTGGCATGCGCAACACGTGGCCGAGCCATCGGAGCCTGGTGCGTGAAATGACGGTGCTGAGCGGTTCATTTCCTTTTCCTGTGCCGTAAACAAGGCGTCGAACACGCTCGTTGCTCACACGGTGTTCACACCAGATGTGAGCTAAATTGCGAAGGCACCAGTGGTCGAACGTTACTAACCTCTTCAAGTCCGTTGCTTTAAAAGTCTAGGTTTCACAACCGTACAGTAGGGTCGAACGTACCGCTGCATTGTACACTCTACCCTTCAGGGCGAGAGTGATGTCGCGCCGGCACCATAGGTGGCGAAGGTTAGCAAAAGTACTTCGAGCTTTTGCTATACGGTTCGTGATCTCGTCTTCGATCCCACGGGCGCTGATACAACTTCCCAGGTAGTTGAATTTCTGAACGACTTCTAGCTGATCACCACCAAGGGTCAGTGCAGGAGGTGATCTCTGTCAATCTTGGAGGAACACTTTGCACTTCGAGGGTGCAAAGCAAAGCCCGAAGTGGCTGACAGTCAGTGTTAATCTGTCCAGCGCGGCTTGGCACGTCTGAGAGCTGTCACAGACGAGGGCAATGTCGTCTGCATACTCCAAGTCGAGAAATCGTTCTCCTGGGAGCAGATCCACACCTTCTAAGTCGTATCCTGTAAACGCGATTTCCATGACTTCATCAATAGCGAAGTTGAAGAGGAAATGTGACAGCGGGTATCCTTGTCTCACACGGCCGGAGATATTGAAGAGTGGCGACAGCTTGCCGTAAGCCTTCACTCTGCCCGTGCTACGCGATTATTATGATCGGATAATATTTACATATTTCTCAGGTACACCTTTCCTGAGTAGACAGTCCAAAATGCAAGTCTGTCCACCGAATCGAATGCACCTTTGATATCGAGGAACACGACAACGGTGGGCCGCCAATATATGTGACGGTGCTCCAACAACTGACGCAAGGTGAAGATGTGGTCAATGCAGCCACGACCTCGACGAAATCCGGCTTGCTCTTCACGAATCTGGCTTTCACGAGTGTCAGTCAGTCTGTGAAGGATGACAGAGGCAAGCAATTTGGTAGGCTTTCTTTTCAGCCTTCACTTATAGGTGGAGATTTATGGCTTGCCTGGCTGTGCGACGGAAAAGATGTTGAAGTTGGAGGAGTAATTAAATAAATAGATGAATAAATAAATCTTTATTCTGTGCAATGCTAGGCACTCCCATCAAAGAATGATAACGAATTACGGTGTTGTACAAACACAGTGTAAAACACTACATCGAAGGCGACACCGATCTTCGATTTGACTTTCTCCTTCCATTGCTGATCGTTCAGTCCAACTTTCCTAAGAATTACGAGTTTCCGTCTTGACAATTATTAAGCAACTCCCGGGAAAGTGCTGATGCACTAACAGCGTTGGAAATCTACATTCTCGCATCTCCTTTAGATTCTCCTTTACAATCCCCAAAACGTTAGCACGATTAACTCAACGCCATGTGCATTTGCTCTTTCCGAGAGGTTGATAACATTAGTTTGCAACCGATGCCTCTGATGACGTACCCATCCACTACCACGGTAGTATTTTTTCTCATTTCCCTTGTCTTTTATCCCAGTTCTCAACGTTAGTCGCGAAACAGACCGGAATGGCATTCGACGATCGTATCGAATGTTGGCGAGTGCCACTCACCCAGATAAGCAGAAGTCGCCCGCGGAAAAAGGGCAAGCTGAAGCACGTCTTCGAGAAATCAATATAGCATATGAAGTTTCTATCTTTTGGCGATTTTCAACTAACGCACCGCTGGATTCAGATCCTAATGGATGACGAACAACGCCGGGAATATGATGAAATGTTGGACAGTCCGGAACGGATGTATTTTCATTATTATAAATATTACCGGCGTCGATACTCCCCCAAAGTGGATGTCAGAGTTGTTATTGTCACAATCATACTCCTTTACTCCATTCTACAAGTGAGTGCTCACGTTGTTCCTTTCTCGACCTACTATTGTTCAAGTGGCTTTCGTGTGGATGTTTTTGCTCATCGACGAGTGGTTCAACTGATTGTCAATCCGTTTTTTATTACAATCGAACAGGCAGTCGCTTTGCAGAATGTACAACGGGACGTTCGTGTGTGATAGCTATCGCCTTCGCTTAACAGTTCATAAAGAACCTTTGACATACCGTATGTTACCGAATATAAGCCGAGGTATTTTGGACACGTTTTTGTTTTGGTAGAGGGGCGTCGGCTTATACAAACGCCATACGCGATTTGAAAAAGTCCCATGCAACATCCACCAAAGAATTCACTGTATAACTCTGCTCTTATCTCCCATTAGCACCACCCGCTAGTAACGGACGGTATTCCAGATAGGGATTTTAGGTGCTTATGATTGCACACGTTACTAATATGTCGAAAATTCTCAGTGTATTGCACATCTAATCTTCATGATGGATGGCAATAGCGATCCGGTGCCTTAAAAGTACGACGTTGTCCCACACCCCTGACCGTGAACTTTGCTCTCGCCCACTGCTCTACTGTGGTTCAAATGCCTGTGGTCCCCGACTAGGCTAGGCGGCTTGTCTGACACCCTCTCACCTTACCATATATTGTCGGCTGTCCTACCATTTTCATGTGGCTTGACTTCTAGTGGTTACTCCATCCGGTGCGGTGAAAGTCTGTTCTAATGGCCCTACATCCCATTAACCGCGATCCTAACATTACAGTCACTGCAGCTGACCAATAGTAGAGCCGGTTTCACTTCAGTTCACTCAAGAGAGAGCAAGTAGTGATGACTTTGAAATGGTGGAGAAACAATTTCGCTTCTCTTTTGCTGATATTTTAGTGGTCGGCTAATACATGAACTTACGAGTTTGTACAACTTTGATGTTGCAAAGTCATACACTGTCGGTTTATCTATGAACGGGCTTATATTCGGTAATATACGGTATTCAAATGTCCTGCGCTTTAGAATAGATTTCACTAATTGCTTTCCCATGATGAACTAGTTGTCATAGTGGCATAATATCATGAAAGCTTACGAAGAATGGGATGCACTCCAATGAATGAAGGCCACACAGTTGGCCTCCCGTTGATTATTTCGTTGAGTCGGGCATCGGTGAGATAACCCACTAACTCTGTCTCGCATCGCGAGTTATTTGCGGCAATCTATCGGCTGTCTAAATCATTGTTAGTGCCAATGGCACTCACGTCCTTGGCCGATCTCGGTTTCGTTGTATTTATTTGACTGCAGTTTCGACGACACGTCTCGATTGTTACCTCAGATGTATTTATTCATTTTCCAAATACCCTGGCCACACGAAAATCATCTGTGACGGTGATATTAAACTTACTGGCGCGTCACAATTTCTGCCTTACACCTCATTGGAACCATTTCGCCCTATAAAGGAACCACGACTCCAAGCCTTGTTTGGTTCAGTCAATAGTGGCTACGGAAGACAGGGAGAGTGTGCTACGTGATGAGAAGCTGAACTCGGCGTTGAGTTTATCTACATCATCGGTGCTGCGTGTTCTGAAGAAATGCTTCCGGACATTTGTCTTATAAGCCTGCACCGGTCACGAAAACTGTGGTTGCCTAAAAAGGTCTGCATGTACTGAGCGTTTAACCTTATTTCAGCTTTTATAGCCAAAGACACGTTTAATGCGGGTAATTTACTTATGTTTATAAGCCAGTTTTTTCGCCACAGTTGCTTGAGCACCGAAGATGAAAATCTATGGTTTCCCAAATAGATTATCTCAGTGGGGTAACACCGATCAAAACAGAAATCTATACAGTCTGTGAGGTGCTCGCATTGAGCTGACAAGTCTTCATTCGTGCAAATTGTAAAATCATTTGAACCAACGGTTTGATTTGAATTTTTCGTTGTTATTATCTGTTGGGCAGTTGAGATTGGGACTGATGTGCCTTGTATTGTCAATATTTTCTCAGGCAGTAGCTTCAGTTCGCCTTACCACCCTATGGCCCAGTAATGTCACAAAAGTCTTTCCAGTCTGGGATTTAAGCTCGTGAATACTGAGCCCCGACTGCTGAATTATTCTCAAGATTGCTTCAAGACGACTATCATGCTCCGCCTCTAATTGACTACACCGCTATATCACTCCCGTGTACCGTCAAGTTCTCTAAGTCATCCAGTAAGTATAACGTTGGACTTCGGAAGGTGAACGAGGCTCCCGATAATCTAAAAGGCTTCCTTTTAACTTGGTATAATTTCTCATCGACCGTAAAGGCAGTTTTTCCCAGTCCTCTCGTTTGACTTCCGGTTGCCAATATTCAGATCTCAGATCCAGGACCACGAATATCCTCGCCTTCTGCAATCTATCAAAATGTCTGCAACTGAAGGCACTGGGACTGAACGACTCACGGAGATTTCATTCAGCCTTCGCAAGTACGCACAGAAACGGTACTTCCTATTGTCCTTTATTTACGAAACAACTGGGTAATTGAACTGGGTACTTGAATAGTTGTGAAAAAATTTCTTTTCGATAAGTATCTTCAGGCATCTACAGTTATGAATCAAGTTGTTCGCATAACGAGCTACTTCTAGATTCACACACTTAAGCCTCGTCGGGTCTGTGAGATGCCGTAGTCCGTAGCCAAATTTGAACTTGATTATAGATCAGTTAGCCTAGAGTCAGCCGACTGGTCCATAGTCATGGCAAGGTCAAATTTTGCATCAGCGCCTTCTGTTTACATAGCTCTGGCTTCAGCCTTCTGATTGCTATGTCTTCCACAGTGACCAGCAAATGCTTTATGCGTCCCTTAGCGACCCGTTTCGATACAATCTAAAGCGTTTTGAAGTCATTAGTCTAAACATGATGCCCACTGCTCACAAGGTGCTCCAAAATTAATTTTTGTACCGTCTTGGTAGTGTCTTGCCGCAGAGAGGCAGTGAAATGCTCCGCTATTTGCCTCCACAAGCGTCTGGTCGTGTGGCCGACGTACCGTGCACCGTAGGTGCAGGTAAACTGATATGGGTCAAACGATTCGGATTGGACCTGAATTCCATTTATGTGGCGTTGGGTTATGAGCGAAGCAGTCTCGGCTCGGCACATCAGGTTCACTGAGGTGGACAATTTCCTATTCAGCATGGCGAAAGGGACATCACATTTGTGAACTACTTAAAAGGGAACGTCCTTTTTTCTCACCGACGCTATCAATGTAGGCCCAACACGAACTGCAGAATGTTTCTTGAATGCGGCAGCGTTCTGATGATGAGTTTTTTGATTCAAATGCTTTTTGCGCAACGAGACTGGACCTTAAGGTGGTGCGACGGTTTGCGTACCTCGTCGAACCACTGAGCTAGACTGGGTGGGACTCTTGGGCTCCTTAAGAGTTAATCCTACCAGGTTAGTCAATAGTTAGAGGTCAGAAGAACTCAGTCTTTTGGTCCTTCAGATTGGGGGGTTGAAATGGAATGGCGTCCATTTCTGTAAAACCGAATCGCTGCCACAATTGCTGCTTTGCGGACAGGCTTTTGTGTCAAACGCTTTGGTTGAGGACCTTAATCGTCCACTTGTCCTAGGTCTGGGCGCCTTGGTTGTACCTCAGTCTACTTAGAACCACGACTATTTCTTCAAACTTCGACCACATCCTGCATCGGCCTTCGCACAGCTTATCAAGGATCGCCTTATCTACTGCATACAGCAGGGTGGGTGAGCGAAAATATGCTACTACTGGCGCATCTCTTCTTTCATTTCCACCTGTTTCTCTTAATCTCATCCGGACCCCATCACTAACCTTCCTGCTATAATTCCAAACTTAATTGACAACAGCCTTAATGCCATTGCAGTCGAACCAACTGCAGCTACCTTCCCACTCCACCCACTGGCCGCCCATTGGCATGGTTGGTGGCATCCAGTTTCGGATTTGCCTGTCACTGTGGTCAGCCACAGAACGTCTGCGCCTACAGAGGGACCATGGGTGGCTTGTGCAGCACCACACACAGCTCCAACCACACACCTCATATCTAGTGTAAACCCGAAGGAATAAGAACGGGAGACATATAGACGGGAGCCACGTTTCATCAACGGAGCTGGCCCACACTCCTTCACGGGTAAACACAAGCACGCTGTATTTGGGAATCAAGCGCATACGAGGCGGTGGCTGGACCGTAGTCCGCTTCACACTGAATGCATGGAACCACTCTTCGAGCCTAGCATGGCCACAAGGACCGTGCACCCCGTCCCCTCCAGCATCGACCAACTGTCTCCTGGAGCCAGTATGAACGAGGTATTGGGTAATAGACAGTTAGGCACCTTGTCAACATGCACATCAAGCGCAGCCACACCGGGGATATCAAGCAGCAGCCAATCACTTTAAACGACAAGATGAAATAAAATAAATCGAATAATTCCCATTGGCAACAGTCCCTTATAAAGCCAAACTGTGCCGTTTCCCTGGCTGCTTAACGTTCGCACTCCAAGACAAATAGGTCAACAGGCTGCACACGTACGCACATTGGACACACTCGGTATTGATGTGTGTTACGTATCCGAAACTAGGATCATGGAGCTGTTGAATTTGTAGGAGCTCTTCTTATTTGCTACCTTCTAAACTATTACCCCCTCGCTTTTGGATACCATGAAGGAGTATAGGCCTACATTCGCATTAGTTTATTTTAATGCTGCCACAAATTAATGATGGAAGAAAAGGAGTAAAGTTGTGAAGGAAGGCTGCGAGGTGTTTATGTGCCTTGGTGTCAGTTGTTCAAACTTGGTACCGATTATATGTCGGCTGGACTTTTAAGAGATGGTCGATACAACTTGTAAAAATGTTAGCTGATGGTGTGATGTGGTGATGTCCTTGCAAAGCTTGTGTGGCAAAATGATGAAGTTACTACAAATTAACTGCGCCTGGCTTGTTCTCTCGCTATTGGTTGCACGCATCCGGAGACGCTGATGCGGAAACCACTGGTAAAGCTGGGGTAGGCATCGTTCTCAGCTCCAATTCTG